ATGCTTTGGCATCATGGACCCCTGAGGGTCTCCAAGATCATGCTCAGAGAGCTGCTTTCATAGTAGATTCCAGGGGAAGGGCTTTGTGCCCTGTATCACAGGAACATGAGCATTGAACAGATTTTCTACAAACTTGTACTTGGAGGATAACTGGGCTGAGTACAAAATCCTCAGCTTTCATTTCCTTTCCATGTGCTTCTTGAACATGCTGTTCCACAGCTCATAAGAATTTGACATCAGTCTAATTTTCCTACTTTTCTAAGTGGTCAATTTTATCTAGAGGCCCTGCCTTTTTATGCTACATTTCATTCTAATTATTTATGGAGAATATGTTTTGAATCTATCCTGGGTCCTTACATGGAAGGTCCTTTCAAAATGAAGATTTAGGTGGGTTTTTTTCCCCTTATTTCCAGAAATTTAAAATGGATTAACATCCATTGTTTTACATTTTTATTTTTCAGAAATGATAGATAGATAGATAGATAGATAGATGATAGATAAGTAATAGATAGATTCTAATTTTCTTTTTCTACCTTATATTTTAGTCACTTTTTCTCTGGATAGTTTTACTTTTTAAAATCTTATTTTCATTCATTTGATTGTATTTCTGTAGTTCTTCAATGTCCTTTATTAAAATTTTATTAAAATTTTTATAAACATCTTGTAGATGTGTCTACATTGACAAAACAGTCTTGTATTTTTCTTTCTATATATTTTTTCTCAATGCAATCACTATTCATTGGATTTCTTTTATATTGCCCATTTTTATTCTTATAAAATTTCTGAATTAGACTCTTTTTTCTTTTTTCTTTTCTTTTTTTTTTTTTTTTTTTTTGAATTAGACTCTTTTCTATGTACAGATTTCTGTTTGAGGATTTAGGATCTTTAATTTAGTTTGGGGTATTGCATCAAAACTTTTCTGGACTCTGTGGTTGGCTTTTATTCTGGTGGGTAGAGGTATTCATTTGCTGAAATGTTTTCATCCTCATTTAACATTTTCTTCTCAGTTGTTGGCATGGATTTGATCTGATTGTTCTTATGCCTGGGGATCTTGTAGACAGGATCTTAGTCCATAAATGCCCTCTTTAGGTAGTAAGATTAAGTTTAAATTTGTAATGGATGTCACTGTTGGTGGTGATAAGATGAGAGGAGAAAGGGTCACCATGGTGTGCCTTGTCCCATCTTCTGCAAAATACTGTGCATGATTTATCCTCTTCCTTCTGTTTTCTCACAATTCTGGTGCCAAGAAGCAGCTTCTTCTTCCAGTCACCTCCTTCTCCCCTGAATTGTCATCCCCAGTCCTCAGTCCTGCTCACCCCAAGCTGTTTCCCTGGTGCTCTAAATGTCCAAATCTCCACCTTGTGTAAAGGTTTTAGCAATTTGCACTGCACTTCTCTTGCAGGTGGTGGTTTTCTTTTTGTTGTTGGATCTGTTCTCCATTTTCTTCTCCACTTTCTCTAGAGGATCTTAGGTCCCTCCTCCCTACTCTGCCCCCACACACAGTAAGAATACCACTGGAATCTCTTCCCATTCACTTATCTATTAGCTTAACTTGAAACACATGGCACATGTGTCACGTGTTGTCTATACACGTGGCATGAGTCAAATGTGGCTATGCCTGTAATTCTTGGTCATCTTCTAGTTTGTGTGTATATGTGTTTGTGCAAAGAAATTGGGTTCAGGCACCCACTATTATCCTGGAATTTATTTTCTGCTGCTCTTTTGGAAGTGTAGACACCTGTGAACATGGACCTTACAGAGCAGTTTCAAGATCCCATGAAGCCCCATGAATCTTCCCCCAGTAGAAGAATAAGCACTGAGCCCCCAGTTTCTGAAAATGTTCAAAAAGTAATTATAAAGTCTTCAGCTTCCAGAAACAATCTCCACATCTTGCCCATATTGGAACTGGTGGATTAGTAGTTTCTTTTAATTTAATTTAATTTTTTCAGTGTTCCAAGATCCATTGTTTATGCACCACACCCAGTGCTCCATGCAATATGTGCCCTCCTGAATACCCACCGCCAGGCCCTCCCAACCCCACCCCCAACTACCCTCCTCTCCAAAGTCCTCAGTTTGTTTCTCAGAGTCCACAGTCTCTCATGGTTCATCTCCCCCTCCTATTTCCCCCAACTCACATCTCTCCTTCTCCCAGTGTCCTCTGTGTTATTCCTTATGCTCCATAAGTAATTGAAACCATATGATAATTGACTCTCTCTGCTTGACTTATTTCACTCAGCATAATCTCCTCCAGTCCCAACCATGTTGATACAAAAGTTGGGTACTCATTCTTTCTGATGAAGGCATAATACTCCATTGTATATATGGACCACATCTTCTTTATCCATTCATCTGGTGAAGAGCATCTTGGCTCTTTCCACAGTTTGGCGACTATAGCCATTGCTGCTATGAACATTGGGGTACAGATGGCCCTTCTTTTCACTACATCTGTATCTTTGGGGTAAATACCCAGCAATGCAATTACAGGGTCATAGAGTAGATCTATTTTTATTTTCTTAAGGAATCTTCACTTTTCCAAAGTGGCTGCACCAATGTGCATTCCCATAACAGTGTAAGAGGGTTCCCCTTTCTCCACATCCTCTCCAACACTTGTTTACTGTCTTGTTAATTTTGGCCATTCTAACTGGTGTAAGGTGGTATCTCAGTTTTCAATGGTTTAATTTATCCAATCAATGACTTTATTATAAATATCTTCATATTTTTATTGACTTTTTTTATTAGCTTTCTATGCTTGGTAGATCAGACTCCACTTTTGTTTCTTTTTGAAAATATGATTAGTGAATCTATCATAAAGTGCATGTTATAGAATATTTAGGGAATTAACTAGAGCTTGGGAAAATACTCTAATAAAATATAAAGACCACTGGTTAAGCAAGTATTTCTGTGATAAAGTTTTAGAATTACACTGTAAGAGAATGATTTTCTAACTAATAAAAAGACATTGAATAGTAGTATATGTAGTCTTTGAATTGTATTTAATAGGAAATGTTAAATTTAGATTTTGTTGTTCCTTTAAAGCAGAACAAATTCAGAGGAATAGAGACTATTTGTTTATATTGTACAAAGTCAAGTATCAAATGAGTTTGAATTGACTCATTTTCCCTCAGATCAAAAATGCATGTTGAATGTGAAATGATTGAAGAGGCATTTCCTCACTCAGGAAATAAGAGCTAAGTAATTTTCCTTCCAGTCTGGGTGCATTTCAGAAAAACAAAAACATGGCTGACTTTTGGCCTGTTCTCCCACTTCTTAGAGGGGTTGCTTGATGGCTGTGACATCTGTACTCAGCTCTTCAGAGCCACTTGAGGGCATTGTCATTTGACTGACTGCTTCCCAGAGGAAGATGTTTTTTGGGGAGAAAAAGGAAGTTTGATAGCTCTGGTCATTTTGGTTGAATAACATTTAAAATAACTGCAACATGAGTGTATGTGTGTGAGTGGATATATTCACACACATGCACACAGGCACATGCATGTGCATACATGTATGTACACACATCACTCAGGGGTATGACCTGGTCTAACATGATATGATATTGCATAAGTAAGGATATCTTTTGTTCTAGATTCATATATCCAACATGTCATTTCTTGCTTAAATGTCGGTGTTCAATTTCTTTTATCTGGTAAATGAAATTCCAGTGTTTAGCAGTAACAAGAGATCTGTATGCAGGTTTTACAACCTATTTCTATAGCCCTTGGAGGTTTGCAGTAAATCCAGTTTCTGAGCCACAGCATGTTCAGTTGGTTGTAGTTTTTCATAATAGTTTCTTACCACTGTGTGTGAGAAAACCAAACTGTAAACAGTGAAACCAGGAAGGGACATGGAAGGAGGTGGCCCCCTCCATGCTCCCATTGGGGAGCACTTTTGGCAAAATGATCTGAGAGTGATGGAAGCAGGAGACACTTGTCATTTTCAGTAGTTTTACATTACTGGCTGTGGAATGGTAAAATTCCACACCTATTTAATAGAACAGGTCATTAGTTGAAAACTATCTCCACAATTTTAAATCCCAAAATAAAAGAAAAAAATATCCACACCTATGCATGTATGAGTGTGTGAACATATACAATTACTTGATTGCCATTAGAATAAGATGTAATAGCTTCCAATTCCAAGAGGTTTTATTTCTGGAAATTATAGGATTTGCAAATGTGGTTTTAAAGGGAAGTTTTATTAGATTAAAACACGCTAATTATTTATATACATCTCTCTTCAAAAATTACATTTATTAAGTAGTTTTGGGAAATCTTTAACTGTCAGTTTCCTTACTTGATTCATTCTCTGATTTTATACATTGAGAAAGGTTTTATAGTGTGCATTTTCTTTTTTGAGAACTGTTAAAGAGATTGACAAATAATATCTGGAATCTGTGTGAACCTTAGGTTTGGCCATCATCCCAATGGCTGGACCTTGAACATATCACTTATAAGCTGTTCATGTGTTTGGAGATCCTCATATTGGCTTCTCCATGTTGTCCTATGTTTCACCCCAAAACAGATACTTCCAGAATTGCTGAAGAGGCAGTTTAATTATTCTTTGAGCTAATACTATAGCGATTTGATCAAAACACTATGTATCACCTCTCAGATCTTAGTCAGATGCTACCTGAAGTATTCAAAAATAGTAATCCACTTAAATTAGTTGATTTTCAACATACAAAGTAACCAGTAGAAGCTAAGGTAAGGGGCACCTCGGTGGCTCAGATGGTTAAGCATCTGCTTTCAGCTCAGGTCATGATCTCCAGGGATCAAGCCCCATGTCAGGCTCCCAGCTCAGCAGGGAGTCTCCTTCTCTCTCTCTCTCTCTACCTCTCCCCCTGCTTGTGCTCTTTCTGTCTCTGACTCTCTCTCAAATGAATAAGCAAAATCTTAAAAAAGAGAAGCTAAGGTAAATATGGTGTTTCAAAGAGAAGTAGTGATGATGGTGATGATCATGACGAAATTGATGATGGTGATGATGATGATAATGATGATGTGGTGATGGTGATGATGGTGATGATAATGGTGGTGTTGGTGATGATCGTGGTGATGGTGTTGATTATGGTGATGGTGATGATGACTGATGATGATGGCAGTGATCATGATGATGGTGAAGATGGTGGTGGTGATAATGATGATGGTGGTGATGGTGATGATGATGGTAATGGTGATGATGGTGATGATGGTGGTGATGATGAGAGTGGTGATAATGATGACTGATGATGGTGATGACCATGGTGATGACGATGATGATGATGATGATGATGATGATGGTGGCGATGATAATGATGATGATGGTAGTGATGGTGATGGTGATGATGGTGATGTTGGTGAGGATTGTGATGATGGTGTTGATTATGGTGGTGGTGATGATGACTGATGATGATGGTGGTGATTGTGATTATGGTGAAGATGATGATGGTGATGATGATGATGGTGATGGTGATGATGGTAGTGATGGTGGCTGTGATGTGTTTCAGTGTTGTGAGTGTGATGAGGGGAAGTGGGAGGATCTACTAAGGAACACGGAAAATCTCATCTGTGGTCTATGCCGTTTACTTGGGAGTATGAGACATGGAGGAGCAGAGGTTGCCATCCTGTTACTAGTACGTACAGCCACCCTGCACACACAGATTTCCCTGCACACTCAACACAAAACACTCGTCCATGGACTTAAGCACAGGCACTGTTGGTATGAAGACAGACATCTGAGTGGAAGGAGGTGGTATCAGGGAAGCAGTGTGTTGGGTTTCTGTGGAGTGCTGGAATGCCTGGACAGAACATTTGATAATCAGTTTAAATGTATAGTAGAGTTGATGGGAAAGTCAGAGAAACCCACAGAAGCTGGCAGCAAGGGGTGAGTGTGCATCCAAAGGCAAAAGTGAGCATATTTATCAGGGTCTCTGCAGCCTCCCAATGCCCAGGGTTCTTCTAACCGGCCGTGTGCACGTGGGGAGTGGGTAAAACTTGGGCTTGTTCCAGGGCAGGTAGGATGAGAGACCCTCCTCCTGCATGGTTTCCTGGGGGTGGGGAGGTTTGAAGTCAGACCCTGCTGGTCTTTGGGGGGAAGCTATATCTTATATCTGCTAGTCAACACCCCAGTACCCCTGCCAGAAGATGTGATCTCAGTCCTCAGATCTGAGAAACTCGTGAGAAAATTTACCAGAAACTAAAGAACGTGAGGGTTTAGGTTGATTATTCCTAATGCCGAGAAATGAAAAACAAAAACAAAAACAAACAATAAAAACAAAATAATATTTAAAAATATGACCATCTGAGTTCTAAGTTAAAGAGAAGTTTTCAAAATTTTCTGCCTAAATAAGCTACAATTATAACCTATAAAAATAACCTGGAGAGGAAAAGTCAGACATCTTATCAGAAGATGGGCCAAAAAGACAACAGTGTGCTTTAAAATTTTGAGGAATAATGACTTTGGAATGGGAATCATTTATACAACAAAACTATCAACAAATATGAGACACAACATAAGCAAGCTGAGATTCAAGAATGTATAATTATAATCACCCTTAGGTGATCTTTGAACAAAAACAGAAAAACAAACAAAAAAAAACTAGCATTCACTCTTGGGAAAGAAAAGAAAAAGGGAAATTGAGAAATAAGAGGCAATTTTGCAGAAAAAAATACATAGGAAAATGAGATCTTATGTTTAGATCCATATTTAATATTAAAAGTAATTTTTTGTAATGCCCAATTAAAAAATAAATCTTGACTAAGACTGGACAGACTTTCTTCAAAAAGATTAGTATGTGTGGCTTTCCTCCAAGATGAGGCACAGAGGAATTTCTGTGGTGGGAGAAGTGAGCACAGCTTACAGGCCCTGACGGGAGACACAGAAGAACAAGGCTGGCCCAAAGGGGCACCACTGGAGAATGTTCCCGAGGGTGCCTGCCCTTGGGGAGGTCCTGTTGCTCAAGCTGGTACAGGGATCTGGGAGCAGGAGAGGAGCAGTACCAAAGTGTGGTTGACGCATGGGTGGCTGTGACTGATCAGTGGGGACGGGCATCAGCTGTCAGTCACCAAGAAGGACTTTGGTGGGTCTGTGTCCCAGAGAGAAAGGGGGCAGCATGGATCTCACCTTAGTGCCAGCAATTCTCAGAACACAGTGGGTTGGGGCTTCTGCTTTCCAGGGTCATGGCCATGGGCTGGAGAAAAGCTCAGCATTGTCTGCCACCTCAGCTAAAATACCAGAGGGCACTGGGACCCTAAGAGGCAGACAATGTGTGGCTTGAAAAATGGGGCCAAGGACATCAGATGTCGAGCAAATCACCGGCAGGCACAGGCATTCCTCATGTTGTGTATATGTATGTTTTTTACAAGTGGAAGGTTAAGCCTTCAGGAAGGTGGAGAAGCACCTGTAGGTGTGGTAGAAACAGAAGAACCTAGAACCGGAAGTGGAGCCTGAAGACGGGACTGAACCGCAATCTGGCAGTTGTACATGTGGCGCGCACTCCAGACTTGAACAGAGAAGGGTTGCTTCATGTGGGCGAGCAAAAAAAGTGGTTTCTTGCGATGGAAGCTATTCCCAGTGAAGATGCTGTGGAGGTTGTTGTGGGGACAAGGATTTAGAGCATCACATAAACATAGTTGACCCAGCAGCACCACGTCCGAGAGGATGGAATCCAATCTTGAAAGAGGTTCTCCTGTGGGTGAAAGGCCATCAAACCGCCCAGCCTACTGCCAGGAAATCGTCCGTCAGTTGATGTGGAAAACTTGGTTGTCGTCCTGTTTTAGGAAACTGCCACAGCCCCCCGGCCTTCAGCCACCTCCAGCTTCGGGCCAAGAACCAGCACCAGCAAAAAGATAACTGCTCGCGCAAAGCTCAGATGATGGCTAGCAGTTCCAACAAGAAAGCATTTTTAAATTGAGGTACAGACATTGTCTCGCAGTGTGCTCATAGTAGAATGTACAACTTGGGGTGTTTTAATGTTGCAGTTGAAATCAGAGATGGATTATTTCTCTTTGGAAAGAAAATACATTTCATTGTATGATGTTTTTACTGGTCATGATACAAATCAAATAGCTTTTCTCCATTGTTATTTAAAATACTGATGTTAAAACACTGTTTTTATATTTTGTGAGTTTCTGGGTGAGATCACTGAATATCAACACTTGGGGCTTTTCTCCCCAGAGCTCGAAGTGTGTATTTGCTGCTGGGGTCTGTGCTGCAGGATACTCCCAGGCTGGTTCCTGGAATGTCTACACTGTGGAGGGACCACTGTGCCCTTGAGATTATTGTCGCCATGTCTTAGTGAAGATGCCTTCATGTTCAGCAACAAAAGAGCTCATCCTATCAAGTGAATACATTATTTCTTGGTGCAAAAGTGATTCTAGCTAAGAGAAAACATGCGTGTGTGAGGAACCGGTGAGGAGAGAGGGTGAGGACACGTGCTTTCTCTTTCGCACTCGCAGCACTGCCCGCCACGGCTCACAGCCCCGCAGCGATTTCCACGTTCTCCAATACTTCAGAGCACAATGGACTCATCTCCCAAATGAAAGTGATTTCCAGAGGTTGCTAGTAGCCTTACATGGTGTTAGCAATAATTCTTATCATTAAAATTGTGTGACGGTCTCAAATTGTCAGGTATTTTGCATCGTCCTTTAAATGGAATAAAACATTAAATTTTATCAGACATTGTGAATTTGTTTTTCCTATTTTTTTAGTGTAAGTTCCAGAAGCATACAGTAGCTGTATCTTCTGAGAGAGATCTGAGTGTTTCTGTAAAAGAATTTAATCTTGGTGGCCCAAATAATTCCTAAAATCTATGGATGTAAGTTCAGATTTCGTACAGGAAAGTGCTGTAGGGATCTACACACCCTGAGGCCTCTTGGTTTCTGAGTAAAACGGTCAGCATCTCACTGCCATGGGAGGTCCAGTAGGAAACTGCCACCAGTGGCCTCTTTGGGGAAATTCTCACCTGTATCCATTCTCTCATGAAAACAACATGAAACATGTAAGTAGTTTGTTGAGTGTAACGTGTTCATTTAACAAGAAGTGATGCTGTTTATTCAAACTGACCTAATATTGCTGGGCTCTCCAAACACACACCCCTTTCAAGTGATTGAATTTTCTGTATTTATAATGGGAATGGTGCATAGTTTTGAATAAATTTAATAATTAAGTGAAATGATTATGTTGTAGAAGCTACCTTGGTGTTTGCCTAATATTTGCATGTTTAATTATGTGAGCAGGTGTCACAGTGAGTGTGTGTGTAGTGTGTGTTTGTGGTGTGAGCAGGTGTGACTGTGAGCACACAGGTGCATGTGTGTGTGTTTGTGGTGTGAGCAGGTGTGACTGTGAGCACAAAGGCATGTGTGTGGTATTGATGGTGTGAGCAGGTGTGACTGTGAGCACACAGGTGCATGTGTGTGTGGTATTGATGGTGTGAGCAGGTGTGACTGAGCACACAGGTGCATGTGTGTGTTTTGATGGTGTGAGCAGGTGTGACAGTGTGTGTGTAGTGTGTGTATTTGTGGTGTGAGCAGGTGTGACTGTGAGCACACAGGTGCATGTATGTGTGTTTGTGGGGTGAGCACACGGGCAGCGTGGGTATCTGCTGGCAGGACCCTTTTCTCTGAGTCGGCTGAAGCAATCCTGCCCCACCTGAGGCTCTCCCTCCTCTGCATTCCTCCCTCCTCTCACAGTCTCAGCCGCCTGTGGCAGCTCCTCCTCTGACTCATGGTCTGTGTCCAGCCAGCCCTACAGCTGTCATTCCACCTGATACCTGCTGTGGCCACAACCACCCTCTTAGCAGTGACACGTGCTGATCGAGGCTGCGTGGCCGGCCTGGTCTGCATGGAGCCCTGAGTCCTCAGGGGTCTGGACCCATGCCCAGCATGCCTCCAGACCCAGCCTCACTTTGAGAAGAATTCAAATCCCCTTTCTGTTCAGAAACCGCTGGTCTAGCTGTTTCTATTTCTAATGTTTTTACTGCATGAAGTTGTGCAAATTTGGAAAATTATGACTGCACTTGATTTGTGAATTTCTCCCATAAAATGCCACTTCTGGAATACTTTCTGGAGCTGTGAACGTGTACTGCCTTCCTTCCTATAAGCAGAAAACAGAGCGTCTGCAAAAACTGTCCATGTGGGGTGTCCCCCTCACCCCCCTGCCCCTGATGGCTTGCAGGAGAGGAGGTCCTACCGGGGCAAAGAGCTGCTTTCCCAGAGCTGCGGGGGTTCTGCCGGAGGGAAGCCTGGGATACAGAGTGTCCTGGGTGTATGTGCACTAGGGGACTGCAAAGAGGAAGCTGTACGTGCCACAGCTGCACACACGTCCTCCCAGCCCCAAGCAGGGTGGGAATCAAGCCAGGGCTCTTGCCTCGAGGCTCAGGAGGCTGGTCCTGGTGGGACTTGCACACAGAGATGCTGCCTGCACATGTTCTTCTCCCTGACTGCCGAGGTGTGCATAGCCCTCAGACGTCCTGGGGCCTGTGACTCTGTCCCTGGACATCACGGAGGCCCCTCCTTAGCACGCAGAGAGGAGCGAGTGAGGAGCGGGGCCAGCATCCCCCCAACACCCTTCCCACTCTGTACTGTGCAGGTGTGGGCACCTGCTTCCTCCAGGTGAGAGGCCGAACACAGCAGTAAGCTCCAGAAGGTGCCCCCGGACATGTGTGGTTGTGAAGAACAAGGGGCAAGGTCAGGACCTCTCTACTTCCCAGCAAGGCTGTGAATTAATTGACTTCCTTCTCGTAAGTGAGCCCACATGGAGGCTGCCAGAGACCAGAGGAAACACTGTGCAATGGAGCTTCTGACAGCACAAACCCTAGACCCATTCTTGGGAGGCCATGCTCACTGACGAGCGACCTCAGCCCTCGACACTCACTCTGTCACTTCCAGTCTGAATACATGCTTGCATGTTATGCTCAGAAGGACCCAGGTAGATTTGTGGGAGTTTATGGATTTCGTCTCTGTGACTAAGGCACCATGGTCATGCTCGCAGGAGCCGGCAGGTCGGCCATCCCACCCTTACTGCCCACATGGGGTTGGCAGCGGCCGTCTTGGGGCCGAGGCCGTGTTTCCCAGATGTAACCGGGCTCAGGCCCACCGTCTATCATGCTGATGCGAGCCAGACATAAGCAACCTTCCTCACTGATTTGCTGTAAGAAAAGCAACCCGTTCTCCGTTTATTCAGCAAACATGTGTGCGCTACCTGGCTATGTTCTGGTGCACGTTTTCAATCCCATCATCTTTTTTCCCTAAAATATCTATTTAAGACGTCTTCACACATCTGCCCCCAACATCTGGTTATTAACAGTAGGAGCTGGGAGCCCTTTGGAGTAACTGTCTCCCTCATAAGAGTCCATGAAAGCCACACGTGGTCCCTCTGTTTCTTGCTGTTCCCCACGCAACATGCACTCTTCGCCATGGCCAGCCACAGAGCCCACTAAGCCACAGCTTTCCCACACAACATGCTGTGGTCAGCCTCGGAGCCCGCTGAGCCACAGCCTTCCCATGCAACACGCTGCAGCCAGCCACGGAGCCCACCAGTGCCACTGGCTGATTTTGCTCAACATCATGCCCCAGATTCATCTACGTCATTTGTATGGAGGAATTTTAAAATTTCCATGTGGTTTCCACTGTTGACTTGTGTGCTCGAAGGCCACTGGGCAAGCAGGGCTGTTTCCATTTTGGTGTACTATGAGTAACGTCATCGTGGACACTCTTGTGGCCTTGGGTAGGCCCGAGTCACTTCTGCTCTCGGACGGCAGGAAAGTGGCTCCGAGGCACAACCAGACTGGTTCCAGAGTGGTCACTCCGGGTCACGTCCCCCTGATCCTCTTCTCTTTGGATTTGGGTCAGGAAGTGTTTCGGGGTTTTTTACCTGCTTCACTTGTTTATGGCTCTTTCTGAGTCAAGCAAATCTAGCACGTTTTATTCCACAGCCGGCGTGGCGGTGAGCTCTCAACGCACAAGCTCATGAGGAGGGGCAGGGAGGAAAGGTCCGTCTCACAGGAAAATGCTCCTGGTTTTTGTCAGTCTAGAAGTGCGTCCTCGGTGTATGTGTGGTGTTCACGCCTTGGCTCCTGCTCCACACACACCAGGGGTGGAGCATACCAGCTGCGCAGACCCCACATGCTGATCCTCCATCACCACGAGAACGTTTGACCGTCTTTGGAAACACTATCTTTGATTTAATTTCATTGAGAAATTCAGAAAACGTCCACTTTTTACTTTCATGCGGTGTTCTTTTCTAAGTTAAATTTTATCTTTATGGACTCAGAGAAAAATATAACTAATTTTGAAAAGATACAATCTTCTCTTTTTTACAACAAAGCCCAAATAATATTTTAAGAACCTCAACTAGACATCCTGAACTTGCCACCCCTCTCCCAGGCTGACTGAGACCTGAGAGACCTTCCCTGTGGCGTGAGTTCCCAGTGGGCAGCACACGGTCTGACTCTACATACCGTGAAGGACGACCAACTACACGAGGTTGGGTTAGACCCATCATCTCATTCGGACTCAGAAACCGGAGTCTTTGATTTTCTTGATCTTACAGCCCAGAGTTCTTCATTTGTGTTAATTGCTAAAGCTCTTCTGTATCTGACTGATTCCCCTGCCTCTTCCTCCCTCGAGGGAGCAGTGGTTGGTACAGGGTCCTGTCTGTGTGAGCCCGTCTCTCTCTCTCTCTCTCTCTCTCTCTCTCTCACACACACACACACACACTCACGCACAACTACATGCACCATGTGTGGAAATCGACCTCGGCTCGTTTTGAAGGTGCCCAGAGCCCATTCTGCTGACCCAACACAAGGAGCACATTGACCCCAAAGGACAGTCCCTGCCTCTCACCTGCCCAGGAACTCAAGGGTTCCACCCCACTCGTCTACCAGATTCTCTGTGACTGGGATGCTGAGTGTGACGGGGGGGGGTGGTCACAGCCTCCCACTGCGGGGGCCATGGCTAGGGAAGGCCGTCGGGGACTCCGGCCTCGGTAGGGAAGGTCAGGAGCGGGGACCAGCTCTGGCAGCACAAGGGCTGGACCCCGCAGACAGGGAAGTTCAGGGGCAAGAGCTACTGGCGAAGCTTGTACAGACCTCACACTGTATTCTTTGCAGGATTTGACTATCTTCCTGTCAGAGATGGGTCTCCCTTCATATTAAGCCGTGTGCATATAAGACTTGAACCCTGGCTAGATTCTAAGTCCATTTCAAAAATCACCTTGCAGCTCCGCGAAAATCACAGGATAGCACATGTTTACCTGTAGCATGACTGATTCTGAACAGAAGCTTGTGTCCAAGAAAGAGGAGGCTCTGCCTGTGGGTTGCATGAGAGGACTTCGTCATCAGCCTACAACCATCACCCTTCACAGATGACAGCGGAGCTGAGTGTGAGAAAGAGCAGAGACCTCAGGTGCTTTCTCCTTCTCACTTTCCCCATCAGAACACTTCAGAAGGCCCTTCACACCGCCCAGGCAGGCAGGTCCACGGTGGGGCCGTTTCTACTCTGTGATGAACGAGCATCTAGTCTCTCCTGACAACACTTACATTGTCAGTGCGTCTACCTGTGTGCACTGTCTGTTGGACACCAGCTGGTCTCTGCAGAAGGTACAGAATCGAAGCGATCACAGTTCCCGCACCCCAGGAGCGGACACTTTGGTGACGGGACATAGGGTGTACTTCTGACTCCATTTCATATTCTGAAAGCTGCTTGTTTGTCTCCTTACTCTGGAAGATTCAGGAATCGAACCTCACCCGTCCCTTTAACAAACAGCCATCACCACCCCTCTGATGTGGGGATTAGTGAAGTCTGCTTTTGTGAACCAACAGAGTGAGAACAGGCATCTTTCAAAATGCAGAACCCACCTCTGGGTAGCAGGTGGGCCTCAACAAAATGAGCAGAAACTGTACAAAAATGTCTGTGAGGGGATTTACTGCAAGGACAGTTTTCAAGGGTCAGATGCTAGTCTAATGGCCCAGAGAATGGGGCCACACAGAGCCTCAGCACTGGTCTCTGCTGGTGGACGGGGAACTCAGCCACTTCTCCAAGTCCTGCTCACTGGGGGATCTTCTGTCCCCACCATCCCACAGGGACGGCCCAGAGAGGAGCTGGGTGTCGCGGGGGCCCACTTCCAGATGTGGCCTGGGTGTCCTGGAAGCAATCAGTACCCTGCACCCCGGACTTCCTCTCCTCTGTCGGCGGATCACAGGCTCCTCACGAAGCCACAGGCTGGGAGAGAAGGAGTGGGGTGGGGTGGGCACGGGGACTCAGGCACTCGCCACTCCTCTGTGGGACTCACAGGTCACTACAGGGCTGCGTGAGCCCAGATCCTTGGCACGACTTCCACATGACAATGGATCGTGGCCGTACACACCCAGCTCTGTGGCCTGCTGGGTCAGGCAGACCCACGGGGCCACGGTCAGCCCAGCCGCTGGCTGACTGGATGCCTCCAGAGGGTGATTACGCTGTGTGTGGATACAGCCTCTCTTCCCTCCCATGTCCACCTTGTGCAAGATCCATCAACAAAATTGGACCATTTTCTCAACTAAACCTTGACTATCTTTTGAGAAAGACTCTCTTATAGTTTTGTTGTCACTGTAAATGACGTTTTTAAAGTAGCTTCACCATTTTGGCGCATAGAACTGTGACTACTACTGGCATGCGGCTCCTACGCCCAGCAGTCTTGTGGTCTTGCTGCTTCTAGGGACTTGCCCGTGAGGTTAGTTTGGCCTCTGACACCCTGTGCTCCACAGGTCTTCTTGTCGAGTGCACTCCATGGAAGCCACTCACCTTCCGTTTGGACTCCTGTTTGCTCTCGGGTTTGCAGAGTGTGCTGACCTGCGTGTTTTCCCCGACAGATGGCTGCGACCAGCCGCTGGCGTCCGCGCTGCCGGCCTCCTCCTTCAGCGGTTCCTCTGAGCTGTCCAGCAGCCACAGCCCCGGGTTTGCGAGACTGAACCGCAGAGATGGTAAGTCAGCGGGCTGCCTCCCATTGATCCAGGGCGACTCACGGACTTTCAACAATTCCTGCATATTTTTTTTGATAAAATGCTGTAAGTGGATTATCTGTGGCACAGAAAGAAAATTGCAAGCAAGTGGTAGGTATGTGGGCATGTTCCCATGTGAGACCGTGCACATAAAGAACGCAATTCAGGTCTCTCTCCACGTGCACATCGGGGCCACGAAGTGCTCGAAACGGCGGTGAGCTGCATGAGTGTCGTGCACGATCAGGCCAACATTCCAGTCACAAAAATACGTACATACCTTTAAATATACTGACTGTTTAGCTAAGAAAATATTTTTTCTATCACAAATATTCACTTCTAGGAGTCTATTAACCCTGGTCGTTTAATTACTCATCTTCAAGTGGGACAGAGACCTTGGAGGGTGTATTAGGTTCCTATTGCTGCTGTGACAGATTCCATAAAGATTTAGGGGTGTAAAACCACATGAATGTATTCTGTTAAGGTTTTGAAGGTCGAAGGTCTGGGACGGGTCTCAGGGGCTGAAATCAAAGTTCTGGTGAAGCTAGTTCCTTCTGGAGGCGCCGGGAGCCTTTCCCAGGCGACGGCATCTGGAGCCAGCTCTCCCATCTCCAGCACTGCGGGGTCTCCCTGGTTCCGACCCCGCTGCCTCCCTCTTCCCGTCCAACTCCCTGTGATTGCACTGACCTCTTAATTCAGCCGATCAGCAGCCTTAGCTCCCTCCTGCCATAGAAAGCCACCGATTCCAGGGGCTGAAAAGTAGACTGTCATCCTCCTTACACCCGAGGCTAGAAAGGCAGCCTCAGATACTTGCCAAGTAGAAATAAAGACAATCATTCCATCTCTTCCCTCCACGTCTCTCAAGGAGGAATGGGAATGCAATGCTACCTTCACAGCTGGTCAGGATCACTGTTTACACTTTTGATGCTAGGGTGTCGCTGGGCACGGTGTTAGCAGGAAACCAAGCTGTCTTCAGCTGCTCTGGAGAAGCTTACAGTCACGGAGAGCATCACCGCAATCCTTGCCACAAAGCGGGAAGGCAGGAGGCCTGTGTGCAAATTCCGGGGAAGTAGATCTGGCTGCAGTCACCCCGAAAACCCCTGCAGAAAGGAAAGCCTGACCCTCACCCCGCCTTCTAAATCACTCCCTCTGCTCTTCTCTTCAACTTCTCCTTGTCCTGAGCACAGAGGCTCCGTATCCGATCGCATTTATTACAGTGAACACTCACAACATAAAAACGAGTGTTAATTCACATAGGGTTTCATAGGTATTTGAGATTTTCATTAGAGACAGATGGACAGACAGATACTCCCACTATAGTGCTTATCACAAAATAGATGTGCAGAAGTGTCGACACAGATGATTTTTACATTCCATTTTATTTGCTATTGAAGGGGCAGAATTAGGTGAGGGGGTGGTTTGGGTTTCTGAAAGGCAGGCCTCTCCAGCCTCCTTCTGGAAAGCAAGTTCAGATGTGTCCAAAAGAAAACCTCAAGCCCAAAAACGTGAGGTTTAGGTCAAGCCACCAAACCAGGGCTGAGTATCCTCGTGACCGCGGGTTCAGCCTCCCCCAGATGCTGTCCTAACGCTCAGACCCCCTGCCCCTCCCTCAAAGGGAGGCAAGCCTGAAGGAATGATCCTTTCCTTTTGCTGGTAATCTCCCTGCCTCCCCTCCTTCCTATAAAATGTCTGTTTTGTGCAGCTTCTTGGGTATCCCCTCTGCTTGCTAGACAGGGTGCTACCGGTTCATGAATCTTCAGATTTACTGGGTTCACTTTTGGGTTTTACCCATGACAGCCCTATCTTCTCCATAGTTACGGTGTCCAGAGTTGACTATGATTGTACCAGTAAGTGTGGCCGGTAGTGGAACACAGTGGGCCTGCTCCCCAGACACAAATGGCCCGGAAACCCAGCTCCCCTCAGCCATCTTCTGGTGACCCCTCCCAGGGCCTGTCTGGCCTTGTGTTTGACATGCGTGGACCCCAGGACTGGCCTTCCTTCCTGGGCTCTCGAACATTGGCTCCCATGGGGCCCTGAGAGCCCAGGCTGTGTGGTGTCCCCTGGTGCCTGAGCCCCCAGCCTCCCAAACTCAGGGTCACGGCCGCCCCCCAGAATCAGCATCCTTCCTCCTGACGGGCCTCGAATGCTTAATCAGGCAGCCTTTTCTTTTCTCCAGGTGTTTGAGCTCCATTACGTCCGAATGTCAAACGTCTCTGCACGCAGATTGTCATTATCTTGAAAACAAAGGATTAGATTCCTCCCTGGCTCTTCACGGGGACAAGCTAGACTCACCCAAAACTGTCACAGTGAAAAAGGAGGGGAGGTAGCTTCATGCCAATAAAATGCAATAAAAGAAGAGATGTTTTGGGAAAATCCGCTGCTCATTCGCATTTGAATCCTGGTCATCGTTCCCAGTTTCAGAGAAGCAGGAAGTTTTTCTTTTGAAAATAAAACAGAGAAGGCTATATTTTAATCAGTTTCTTTCAGTTTTCACAGAGTAGGGACACCATACATAAATCACTGAGTCTATCTTCGGTCTGTGCGTGTGTTTAGTAAATGACAAGTGAGCATTCTCTCCGTTTGTTGGTTAAAATCCCGTTTCCCACCCAGGCACATGAGCCTCGGGATTTTCCGTGAGTGAAATCATTTTAATCCGCTATTTTCCTACAGCTCATAATGAAGCAAGATATCAACTTTAATGAATTTTATTTGCATGTTAATTAAGTTCAAAACAGCCTACCTTAATTATCTTTTACTTGCTATTCATTGTTTTTGATTGGGTTTTATTTTTTTTTCTCCCCACGGATGGCCTGCAGCATTCACAGAGGAAATGGCAAACTGAGTGAGTTATTGATGGCTCCGTGGTGCTTCTATTGTTTCAACATTTCTCATTTGATTTGGATCAGGCTGTGAAGGCTGGCTATGCAGGCAATCAGAACAGGAATAAATGAGCAGGAGGGAATATGCCACAAATAAATTTCCAAGAGTCAGAAGCCCATAAAACGCAAGGTCTTCCCACTGCAGCTCCGGGAGCAGGCAGAAAACAGGCGTTTCTGACCAGACCCCTCACTGCTTTTTGTTTTGAGTCCAGGGGCGTGGTTGGGGGACATGATGTGGGACATCTTGCATGAGGGCACTGAGGTCAAGGCCCTGGGACAGTGGCACCCCTTCTCCTGGGGGAGGAGCCCAGGCTCCCTGGGGCAGGCGTGTAGGACAAGCCACATCTCCATGTGCAGGTCACTCTGCTGTCTTTCCCTCAGTCTAGGGAATTCAGTTCACCGTGCCTCAGAAGGAATAATCCAGAAATCTCCAGCAGACATCAGTTGGCTGTAACAGAGCTCCTGGGAGGCACCTGCATTGTGCCAACCACTCCGAGTCTCTCCTCCTTCATTCACCTTTTCCCTGCGGTGTAGCGTGAACTGTGATGCTTCTAAAAGCAAAGCCTCTTGGTCCTTTACCATCAGTGCTACGGAGATGTGAGGTAATCTCAGGCTGGAAGGGAGGCATCCACACAGCTTCCACAAAGGCCTGCTCACACAGCAATCCAGCCCGGCCCTTGGGTGCACGAATGAAAAAGGCAATGGCAGAAACCTCTCTTTTCAGAAGGGACTTGCACGGCACCTTCTAGCACAAGCAAGAGTCTTCCTCCAAATCTCTTACCTACTGAACGGGGCATCTGTCCAGGTTCCAACCAGCTGAGGGAACCAGCTGAAAGCTCCCCAGGGGGAGACGGATGTGGAGAAAAATGCCCCTCTGTCCAGGACACAGGCAGTAGCGAGCATCTCCAACACTGTGACTGAAGTGATGCCAGGGCAAGTCCCCAGCCAGCTCTGGCCTGGAGGCCTCACCTGGGGGTCAGCGGCAGGAGGTCTGTTACGGCTGTGCCAGAGGCAGCTAGCCTTGGCTGTGCCGACAGGCTGTGGGGCAGTGGCCTCCCATCCCAGCCCTGAGCCCGAGCCTCGCGGGAACATCCCAGTACGTGTGCAAGATGTCTTGGACCATTCATCGCAGCCCCTCTGCAGTCTGTCTCCATCAGGTCTGATTCAATGCTCTCTTGACAATATATGCAAACAGAACAGCAATTTCAAATAAGTGAACTGAATTCAAAGGGGATTTTTTTTTTTTTTTTTAAAAAGGTCTGGAAAAATGCTCGTGAAAGGAGCAAGGACATGCTTCCGTTCAGTTGAGATTGATGTTGCCACAGAAGCAAGTCCCTGAGAAAGTTGCAACAGGTCTGTGCCCATCAGAGGCTGGACCTGACACCCAGGGGGGCACCACAGCCAGGAGTGCTGACCATGGACAGGACAGCACGGACATGCCGACGGGTTTTAAGTCCCCAGATGTCACCGTATGTGAGACAAATCTGGAACAGGGTAGCCCCGTGGTCTTCGGGTATCATGTGGTCAGGGCTGGGGGCAATCCTATATGGGGTACATTCTCCACTTGACCACGGGCCCCAGTTCACTCAGCTGCTTCCACAGAGAGGCATCTGGCTTTGTGCCCTGGTTACGTGTGGTGCCACGGAAGCTGAGGTTGACAATATTGCTAATGATGCTGCTGCCGTGCGGAGGGCCATCCTGAGGGACACTACATGAGCAGATCCCAGCAAGCCACGGAACAGTGGCCAGCGTCTGTGAAATACTTGCCATTTGTGGCCCAAACTGTCAGCTTCCACCAACACTGCCAAGGTCACTTCAGACATTTCTGAACCAAACATTACCAGAAAGCCTGGACAGAATTCTTTTTGAAGTGTTTGAAGACACTGGAGAGTTTCCAGGCCAAAGGGCCAGGATCAGGAGAGGGAAAGCCAGAGAACCGAGCCTGTCTCTGGGGCCACTGTGCTGATGGCTTTTTCCAATGTGAGAGCCACAGAGACAGGCTGAAGGGCTGAGGAAGACCTTCCGGCCTTGTCGGGCTACAGCCCGAAGTGGGACTCAGAGGCCAACAAGGGGGACGGACCCTTGAACACACCACAGTCTTTGGGC